GCTCGCGCCAGGACCGGGGGAGGGGTTACATGATGTGCATCTTGTGCTGCATTCACTTGCACTCGGACATTAGAGACTTTCTCTCATAAATGTCCGATGAGCCACAACTTTTCTTTCAAAACAAAGCTGCCAACTGGGGTGGCAGCTGGGGTGGCAAGGCCTATTTTTAAGGGTGGCAGTTGCCACCCCGGTAGGTGAAACTAGGCTACTAGCTACAGTACAGATGGAACTAGATGAGCTGTTAACTCTCGCTCTGAATTTTTTTTTTTAATTCTCGCTCTGACTTAGACAGGTTGAAAGAGACACACACATTTTTCCCACCCGCATTCCGCGAAGACCCGCCCTACTGTGCCTCTGATTCGCAGATTGTTTGGGGGGAAAAAACGCTGACTGGATGCTGAATGTGATTGGACCAAAGCGTTGACACACACAGGTGGAACACAGTGGAACAGTCAGACATGCAGAGCGCTGTTTGCAGTGGACATAGCGGAGAATTTTGACTCGTTGCGAATGCGTTGTGGCGATGTCTCACATATAATACAGAGAGATAATACATATGAAAAGTATAATTTGCTCAGAGTCCGGAGACAGTGGTGGTTCGGTCCGGATCCGGACCGGAGTCCGTAGTTTGAGGATGCCTGGTGTAGTGCTACCAAAAGCCCTAGTTTCTTCACAATAGACTGAGATAGATTCACCAGGTGGAATCATATTAGCGGAAATCAATCGGTTTCACCTTCAAAATAAAGTCATGCCATTCTGGAATACGAAGTGGTTTAGCCACATTATAAAGGAGCTCCATTAATCTTTTTTTATGTATGTTATGTAGTGCTGGAATTGGGCCGGTACTCACCGGTACGCAGTACCGGCACTTCTGGTTCTGACCCATGGAGTACCGGCACTTCTTGCTCAGTACCGGCATGCTGGCGGTACTCCGGTACTCATGCACCGTGCCAGTACTCAACACTCTCCCGCCGTTCTTATTATACATCCATATATATATATACAGCCGCCCGGTACTCAGTAGATGCGTCATGAGGTGCCGAACGGACATTCTCATCGCTCTAACCGCTGGAGTTTCACAGCGGCTGTCAGCTGTTTACTCCTGTCATTCAAACAGAACGTGCTGGAGAGGGGGCGGGGCTTATCTTCTCCATGTAAATACTGTGGTGGAAACGACTATGTCAAAATTAACCTATTTGACCGTGATTTAATAGTAATACACGTTTCAAAATAATAATAATAATAATAATGCCGAAGTAACAACATACTGAAAACTGTTAGTAAAACCATGTTTTAATGCTTTACAATTTACATACCTAGATGCACGTGTGTTGTGTTTATGCAGTGCAACTCCCACCCAGTGGGTGGCTATGTAGAGTGATAGAACAGAGCAGGCACGCCCCCGAGAGAAGGAAAGCAAGTCACGTCACAAATTAGCATTTCTAAAATGTTAGCGTGGATTAATAAAAGTGCAAAAAGACAGCGGTTGTCGCCGGAAGAAACTTCAAATACAGAGAATGCTGTGCCTGTGTTGGAAATTGTGTCTGATGGGGAGCTTTCTTTGGTTGATCCTCCTGCTCCAAGTTCTAGTGCATTAGCATTAGCACTAGCTCCGCCGCCTCCTCCAGAGCCTCTAACGTTAGCTGCTGCTGGCGCAACTTCCACCACCAACACCGGGCAAAGCGATGCACCTGACTGCTGGACAACGGACCAGGTGCAATATTTTTGCAAGACCAATGCATGGCTCCTTCTTAAAGATAAGAAGCTAGGATGTCGGATATGCAGAGATGTCAAATCGTTGGGAATACACACTGGACAAGGACGGAAACTGTCAACTGAATGGGGTGAGTGTGCAGTGTCTCATTTCGGTGTTGACAAGGGCAAACAACAAGCTAGCCTGAGAAAAAAAATCAAAGAACATAAAGAATCACAAGCCCATGTAAAAGCTGCTGACATCCTTACATCTGCTTCACGTGAAACTATTCAACATCAAGTGCAGTCTATGCATAAATCTGAATTAGACACTACTATCAGAGTTTTTCGAACGGCATATAAAATTGGCAAACATAGCCGGCCATTCACAGACATGCCAATTGATTTGAATGTACAGAAACTGAATGGGCTGAACGTGGGCAGGGTTTTGCACTCCAATAAAACCTGTGGCGAAATCATCGACCACATAGCTCATGAGCTGAAGAAAAAAATGGCAAAAGACATTACAGAAAACCAAAGAAAACTCTGTGTTTTGGTCGATGAATCTACCACTATTAGTGGTAAAACGGTGCTTGTTGTGTGTCTACGCTCAGCATTAGCTGATGCTGAGCCCGAAACGTTTTTTTGGGAGCTGATCGAGTTGGATGGAACAACGGCTGATGACATCACAAAGGCGTTAATGGAGTGTCTTGGAAGAGATTTTAACGAGGACTTTTTAGGTCAGTGTTTCGTTTCTTTTGCATGTGATGGGGCTTCAGTCATGCTAGGGAAGAGAACAGGCGTTGCTACCCAGTTGTGTAGTAAATTCCCAAGCCTGTTTGTGTGGCACTGCTCCAATCATCGTCTAGAGCTGGCAGTTGGGGATGTGGTCAAGGAGGTCTCAGGGCTCAATCATTTCCAGATCTTTTTTGACAAACTCTATTCCTTGTTCCATGCCTCCCCCAAAAATCAGAGGCAGTTAGCGCAGTGTGCGCAAGCAGTCGGACAGCGTCTCCTGGTGATAGGGCGTGTTTTGTCCATCCGCTGCGGCTTCAAGTGAAAGGAGCGTCAGAGCAGTCTGGGAAAACTACCGAGTGCTTCATGATCACTTCACAAATGCTGCAAACGACACGAGCAGGGATTCCAGAGACAGAGCAAAGTACAAGGGCCTGGATGATGTGCTCACATCTGCAACGTTTGTCAGCAATCTGGGACTGATGTACGATGCGCTCACAGAGCTCAGCGACCTCTCTCGGCAACTCCAAAAAAGAGAGATGACACTGCCTACAGCAGATAGGCTCTTAACTCGAGAAATACGAGTTTTTGAATCCATGGTCGCCATGCCTGGCCCACACATGACTACAGTTCATACAGCTCTAGCTGAGAAGTCCTTCAAGGGTGTTGCCCTGCGTGAGAATGGCAGGCTTGTACAGATTCATGCAGGTCAGTTTTTCCGCAGTATGGTAGAGAATCTGAGACACAGAATGACTTCCACAACCTCCTCTCATGTCAGCACAAGAGAAATCCCATTACATGGCCGGGAGGCCCGGGACAATCAGCTAATCCAGGACATGAAAGTTATCCATCCTGGAAGTTGGCCTGAAGAGGAGTTAGACGTACAGTATGTGGACGTGGAGGTGCTACGTTTGTGCGAAGTGCTGAATGTGGACAGAAGAGAGACTGTTCAGGGCTTTCGCAAATACAAGGAAACCAGGGCATCCCGTACACCTGCTGCCATGGAGCCTCTACTGAAAGCAGTCCGAACCATCGCTGTCTCCACTAGTGAGTGTGAGCGGGCATTCAGCTGCATGAACGATATCCTTACTGCAAAAAGGAATGCTCTCTCTGTCAGCCGACTGTCCAGCCTGGTTTTCATTAAATGTAATGGACCATCACTAGGACAGTTCAATCCGGAATAGTATGTGAGGTCCTGGCTGGCAAAGGGAAGGAGAAGTGCTGATGAAAGAGCCTGTCCAGCTCCAGCCCCTGATACTGATGTCCCCAAGGCCTTCTGGAGCCTTTTCTAACAATGTGAAGTATATTGCAAAGCAGCTCACCCAGTGAGAAGACTTTTGGCATAATGTGCCGATTTGTACAGATCCTGGAGATAGAAGGACTTCAGACCAACCAGGGAGTTATCTGATCAGCTTGGTGTTCAATGTAACTCTTTACCATGGCTCAGACTTTGTTACTTGCAGTTACAGTTTCTCATTTTAGATTGTGCAAATTTTGCATTTGTTTTTACATGTTCTTTGTTCATGCTCTTTATCATTTTTCTGAGTTGGAAAGTTAGATTGCATCATAGTTTACTTTATACATATTTGTATTCTTCAGTGGTGAAGTATATTGCAAAGCAGCTCAGCCATGTGAGAAGACTTTTGGCACTTTTTCGTTTTCTGAGTTGGAAAGTTAGATTGCATTCAAAATGTACAGAAATACTTAATTTTGTTAAAGCTTTTTATAAAAAATGCTTCTGACCAGAGCTTTGTTTCCTTGTCATTAATGTTGAACACCACCAGAGGGGCTCTCACCTGAAAGGTCTCTGCTTCATGTGTCTTCAGCAGAAGATCTAGACTTTGATTGCTATATTTTCAGTTAATATTGACCTTACTGAGCTTTAGCCATATCCGCTGCCTATCATAAAAAATGTTAAGTACAGTGAACCTTTCTAAAATATACAGTAGTAAAGAGACAAACCCACCAGCATTATAGTAGCCAAATTCTTGTTTGTGGGCTGTATATATAAAATTGACTTGAAAAAGTTGCTGATTTTAGAGTACTGGCACCTTTTTCATTCCAATTCAAGCACTGATGTTATGTGAGTAAGTATATACATACCATAAAAAAACATTGATAGCCTACGTATTTCCAAGAACCCTCTGTTGAATTAAACCCTGCTATGAAGCGTAGTTCTGTTTACTGAACTTAAAGAATATCACAGATAACATTTATAAATTAAATACCGAAAATATTATTTTAACAGAAAAGTGCAAAACCTCGAATTTATAAATTGCTTTCATCCAAATGCCTATGTGGACTTTGTCTGCTGTATCGAAGGCTGTCCCTGTATGTTATGTAGCAACACTTAGCTTATGCAATTCAAAGTGGTTATATGAATTTTGCATTGAACAATAAAAATAGTGCAAAAATAAAATGAACTTTACCCTTACCTTAATCTACCGTTGTGTGTGTACCCGCACCGCACGAGTAAACGGTCTGCCGTGTTTGTTAAATATTATATTGTGTTGTAAAACGACTTATTCGTACCCTTATTTTGAAGGATGCAGTATCCAACAGGAAATTATGTTCTAACTACGGGTTGCTTAGAGCGCGGCCGCAGAGATTAATGAATACTTTAGCGAAGCGGTGCAGACTGAGGTTTACATTGTGAAAGATGTAGGATGCGCTATTCAGACAATGACGTACACTAACAAAAGGTAGGAAACGTGTTTATCTCACCTTTTGTGCACGATATAATGCGCTGTAGATGATAACCCACATGTGTAATTAAACTGGTTTTGCATGCAATGTAGTCAATGTTTTAAACTAGGTAGACAGGCTAACACTTATTAACGCTTAACACCTTGGAAATGTGGCTTGAAATAGTAAAAATGCACATATACTATCAGAGTTGAGTGTGTCATTAGGCGTCCACAACATTTGCGATAGTACTGATATACACTTTGGATAATCTAAACTAGTTTTTATCTTTTAAAACAGCTATTTTTCAAGACTTTGTAGGCGTGGCAGATTACGTTTGATTGACATCTCCCTTGTTTTGGTAATAATACTCTAATTAGCCAGTTAGGCCTTATGAAAAGATTTACTTAAAACGTGATTTGTTTAGGAACTTTCACTATCAATATCCATGTTAGGGAGAGACAGGCTGCAGTGTTTTTTGTATTACAGTTTTACAGGATTTTGCCAACTTTGATGTAAACATTTACCAGACCTAACTCTAACTGTCATACCTTAACTTTACTTGGCTGCTGGACTATAGTCAGGTCTCTTTATAGCAGCTGTAAAGCATTATCTTCATGCATTATCTTTAAAACCACGTTGGTGTTCTTCTTCGCAGGTTGTGAATTTGAGGCAGACATGCCTCTTTTAGAATTCTTAGCTGGGAGCATTTCAGGTAAGAAAAACTTGTATTTGTTTTAATTTGTGACAGAAAATAATAGTTGATTGAATAGAATATGTATTAAGGAGTAATATTTGCCTGTTGATTATTGTAGGTGCATTGGGACTGGCAGTTGGACATCCAGTGGATACCGTGAAGGTGCATGACACACTGAAACCTATAAACATTACCAAATGCATAAACCTAGTTTTGTAACCTCATGTTTTATTTGTAGGTGCGCCTGCAGGCCCATTCTGCATACAAAGGGATATTTCACTGTATAGCTAAAACTTACTCTGCTGAGGGGGTAGGTGTTTTGTCCTTTTAAATTGTTGCACCTTGTAGCTCCAGCCTCCATCACAAAATATGAATGCATATTTAACTATTTTTTTGCCTTTATTATATCAGCTCCATGGATTCTTCAAAGGCATGGCATTTCCGGTGATGACCACAGGTATCAACAACTCCATCATCTTTGGCTCATACAGTAATGCCTTAGACTACCTCACTCAGTCTCAGCGCAGCGACCGAAATCAAGGCAAAGAGCCTTCTGCTGCACATGTCTTCGCTGCCGGATGCTTTTCAGGCTTTGTGCAGGTAAGAAGGACTGTCATTCATGGTCTGGCTTCTTTCAAAGCACCTTTGTAATTAACATACCCAGATATTACTGGCATGATGGGACCACAAATTCTTCTAAATAGGACATTTCAGGGTGTGAAAACTCTGCATGGTTTAAGCGAATGTCACTAGTTTCTCGTTGCATGTGTGTTTCCCACCTACAGGTGCAGGGAAACAAGACTTTAAAGGAAGGCTCCAGTCATTAGATAGTTAATTAAAACTTCAGTATTTAGTGAAACATTATGTTTAAACCATACCCTGAAGAAATCAGCGATATTCCCCGGTAAATAATGATTTTATAGCTCTTTTTTATCAACATCTGTATATTCCGTCAGGCAGCTGCCATTTTGGCCATTTTCAGTAGTCACATGATCCGAAAAACTAGGTCGTGACGTCATCTATGCGTTCACTTTGTAAACACACGAACAGCTCATTGGACGAAAACATGGCGGAGTATTTGAGTTCGGACTCGTCAGCCGAGGAAGAAGTTTAGACAAATAAAGTCCAGGCGGACGCACCTCTGGGTAATTTGGGAACTATCAGTTCCATTTGACCTTTTTCACTGTAAAAATCATTTTATTACTTTGAATTATCACTATAGGTATTCATTCCATCCAAATACAACTGTAAAAAAAATAAAAACATAGGCCTACTCTGTTATCCTCTTAGGCCCCACGGACCCGGTTCCGGGGCCGAAATCGCGTCATTTGCAGGAAACAACGTCTAAGGAACCTTAATATTTAATAAACTATGAATATTTTATATCCATATAACGGGAAAAAAACTAATTTAACTGATCTTTTTCATTTTTTTCTTACAAAAACACACAATGCTAACAGTGAGCCTCTGAATTAGCCCAGAGCGAAAAATGCTAACCTATTACTGCACCGAAAATCACTCCTAGCTCCCTTATTACTTATTCTAGCTGCACATCCAACACATCGTTTATGATCGTAAAGACACAGAATCTAACGGTGCTCACCTCAACACTGAAAGATACAAACTCGCGACGTTATCAACAAAAACGTACATCAAAACAAGTGGCGCTAGGTAGGCCTACTAACATGCGCTAGGCCAGGGGTGCCCAACCAGTCGATCGCGATCGACCGGTCGATCGCGGGGAGATTCCCAGTCGATCGCGAGATGTGTCTAAAAATAGAACAACAATATTTTGTTTTATCGTTAATGTCCTGTAACATAATCTTCCTGTGCCAGAATAATGCACTTGAACGCATCAAAGCTTTGTGATTGGCCGGCGTGACCCCATGTGTCGGGGCGCGGCTGGTGGGAAGTGGGCAGTGCACTAGTTCGCTAACGTTGTCCGTGTCAACAGGAGTGACAGTCCACACACACACAAGACCGCAATTATGGCAGAAGCAAAACATATATAATTTTCACTCCGAGTGGGAGGATGATTATTTTTGTATCTATTCCAATTCAAAGTCCATCCGTCTCATCTGCAATGCGAGCGTGGCTTTATCAAAGAAGGGTAATTTAGGAGCGGCATTTCAAAACAGTGCACAAACGCTACGAGACGGAATTCCCTCCTAATTCTGCCCTACGCTCCCAAAAGGGGAGGGGCCTGAAAGGACAGCTAAATGCACAGCAGTCCATTTTCACCAGGCCCAACAACAAGAGCAAGGCTGCTACCAGAGCATCTTATCGTGCCAGTCACGTTCTTGCGAAACACATGAAGTCTTTCAAAGACGGCAAAGTTGTGAAAGAAGCATTCCTGGAGGCTGCCGATGCGTAATAAAAATAACAGTAGCATTTCAACAGGTTTTTGATATGATAAAAATACCGTTAGATACCGTTATTAATCAGCTGTAAGTTTGAGTTTGTTTGAACTTATTCATTATAATTATTGTTCAAAATGGTATAATAATGCAAACTTAAATTGATTATAGTCTATCAATTCAGGTTAAGAAACTAGTGTTGCTTGCATCCTATTTTAAAGGCATTTCTTTTTATAATCTACTAAAATGCAACAAAAAAAAGGTTTGATTCTATTAATTTTGTCTTTTTTATTGCACTTTGGCAGCAGATTCCTGTGTAGCTTCAGATCTGAGTTGTCTTATTAGTAAGCCTAATTTATACTTTTGTAGCAACACTAATTTTATATAATGGCAAAGAAAGGGTTCAGAGTATTTTCCTTTTTTCCTGTGTCATATGTGGCAGCACTGTTCAATGTTTCTTAAACATTACCCACTGTAGTATGTGACGTGTGAATAAACTCCAACTCTGTATCAACAACACTGTTGTGTAACTTCAGTGAAATACTTGTATGTGTGTAGATTAGAAAGAGGTAAGATAAAAGATCTGCAGTATTTTATCAACCTTCCTAAATTCTCCCACACCACTCCGCTCCTCCGCTCCCTTCACTGGCTTCCGGTAACTGCTAGAATCCACTTCAAGACACTGGTACTTGCTTACCGTGCTGCGAATGGATCTGGCCCTTCCTACATCCAGGACATGGTTAAACCGTACACCCCAGCGCGTGCACTACGCTCTGCATCAGCCAAACGACTCGTTGCGCCCTCGCTGCGAGGGGGACCCAAGTTCCCATCGGCGAAAACACGTGGGTTTGCTATCCTGGCTCCAAGATGGTGGAATGAGCTCCCCATTGACATCAGGACGGCAGATAGCTTGCACATCTTCCGGCGCAAACTGAAAACTCATCTCTTTCGACTCCACTTCGAGCGTTAGAACGATTAACGAAGCACTTTTATACCAATAAAGGACTGGCTTATCTAAAGCCAGTTGAGTAGCACTTGAAATGTTTGGCTCTATGAAACTTGATATACTTATATGATTCTGTTTTCTTCAAGGTTGTGTCTTCCTGGTCGAATGTACTTATTGTAAGTCGCTTTGGACAAAAGCGTCAGCTAAATGCAATGTAATGTAATGTAATGTAATGAAGTATTAATCGTACAAAGGTCAGTTTTATACAAGTAGAAGTGTGTATTTACCTGGTAGTAGGCTGTCAGTAATGGCTACGCCTCTCTATTTGGACTGGTAGATTTCGGTAGACTGGCAACTTTAAAAGTAGCTCTCGGTTCTAAAAAGGTTGGGCACCCCTGCGCTAGGCTAACATGGCTTACCTTCGTCTTTGCCTGGTCTAAACTGGTCTTCAATGGCATTACAACAATAAAAACGATGATGTAGTTAATCCATAGGTTAATATCCAATGTGACTGTGTCCCCTTTGAAATGTTCTGATAATCTATAAGCAATAAAACTGCAATTCCGTTATCTGCTGTCCGCTCTGTGCTCCGTGCGCTCAGGGTCCTGCAATTCCTGCTTCCTTACGTAGTAAACAATAAGTAAAGTCTGCTGCGTAATGTGCTTACGCTGGCTGGCATTGGCAGTGCACTGCATCCCCATTAAGTAATGGTTGATTCATAAATCCCATTTTATGTTTCATCATACTCTCAGAGTAGTCGTCCGGAAACTTGAAATGTTCGCTGCATACATGCTCCTGTGGATCTTTCGGTACGGGCCGAGCACATTTCGCTAGCCACTGCCTCCGAACGTACTTCCTACCAGTGGCGGCCGGCCCATAGGGGCGCTAGGGACGCCGCCCCACCTCTTCCCACATACAAAAAAATATATAAAAAAATATATTAAATAAAAAAATATATATTTAAAAAAAATATATATTTTATATTTTTATTTTTAATGAACAAGGTAAATATCATACAATTGGTATCAGTAAAATGTACAATCTACAATAACATCTCGTTTAAAATTGTGTTACGATGTCTAAAGTTACTGATAAGTCACATGTTTCCTGCCTGGCCTTGCCCGTGGCATTAGTTTATCATTACCGGGCGCCGTGCAAGGAGCCCCCGAGCCAAACAGCAGCAACCAGCACGTTGCAAAAGTCTCAATAGTAAACTGTGCCGCCGAAACATAATTTCAGCCAATCAGCGCCGTCAAATATTTTGGTCACGAGGGCGCTCACGTTGGTGCCCACGTTGCTTACGTGCGTTGACGTGAGTTGTTTTTTAGACTCGTGAGTGACCAAGGTGTTGGATTAGTTGGATGAGAATGGCTTCGTGTGCAGGTGGAGTCGCCGGACCTCGGTCCCCGCCCAATTCCGTTCAAGAGCTAATCTCCAATCCTTTCGAAAGGAGAAGTTTGGGAGATAAACTGTTGCTTAAAGACCTTGGACCGGACCAACCCGATTTGTATATATCGCAGCAAGCTCATGAAAAAGACAAAACGTATCAACGAGGCTTCTCACGTAGCTGGTACACCAGAAAGGCATGGCTAGCTGGATGCAAACAGGTAAATGCTGTCTTTTGTTTCCCATGCTTGCTCTTCAAACAGCCAGGGACAGATACGATCTGTTCAGAAACTAGACAAAAGTTAAACAAGTACAAACCACAGACTGTCTGTGTCATGGAGAATACAGTCGCTGGTTTATTTATGTCTGTATAGGCCGTTGTTGTGAGTGTGGACGGTCGGAGCATATAACGTTAGCTTAGCCAAGCTCCATTCAGAAAACAAGCATTCTAAATGGTTTTTCGCCTGCCGTCTGTCTTCAGACTTGTCAAAGCATTAATTCATGGTTTTTACTAACCGGTATCAGTATGTTGTTACGTCGACATCATTTATAAACGTGTATTACAATTTAATCACGGTAAAATATGTTCATTTTGTTGTAGTTGTAGCTCCCGAGCGCGTCTTGTTTGAATGATGCTAGAGCGATGCGATAGGAGCGTTTAGAGCAGGGGTGCCCAACCTTTTTTGAACCGAGAGCTACTTTTAAAGTTGCCAGTCTGCCGAGATCTACCAGTCCAAATAGAGAGACGTAGCCATTACTGACAGCCTACTACCAGGTAAATACACACTTCTACTTGTATAAAACTGACCTTTGTACGATGAATACTTCATAAAATACTGCAGATCCTTTATCTTACCTCTTTCTAATCTACACACATACAAGTATTTAACTGAAGTTACACAACAGTGTTGTTGATACAGAGTTGGTGTTTATTCACACGTCACATACTACAGTGGGTAATGTTTTCAAGAAACATTGAACAGTGCTGCCACATATGACACAGGAAAAAGAGAAAAGACTCTGAACCCTTTCTTTGCCATTATATACAAATAGTGTTGCTACAAAAGTATACATTCGGCTTACTAATAAGACAACTCAGATCTGAAGCTACACAGGAATCTGCTGCCAAAGTGCAATAAAAAAGACAAAATTAATAGAATCAAACCATTTTTTTGTTGCATTTTAGTAGAATATTAAAATAAATGTCTTTAAAATAGGATGCAAGCAGCACTAGTTTCTTAACCTGAATTGATAATAGACTATAATCAATTTAAACAGAACAGATCTTAATGTTTGCATTCTTATACCATTTTGTACAATAATTATAATGAATAAGTTCAAACAAACTAAAACTTACAGCTGATTAATAACGGTATCTAACTTGAGTTTTTATTATATCAAAAACCTGTCCCCAAAAAGCGCTTCAGCAGCCTCCAGGAATGCTTCTTTCACAACTTCGCCGTCTTTGAAAGACTTCATGTGTTTCGCAAGAACGTGACTGACACGATAAGATGCTCTGGTAGCAGCCTTGCTCTTGTTGTTGGGCCTGGTGAAAATGGACTGCTGTGCATTTAGCTGTCCTTTCAGGCCCCTCCCCTTTTGGGAGCGTAGGGCAGAATTAGGAGGGAATTCCGTCTCGTAGCGTTTGTGCACTGTTTTGAAATGCCGCTCCTAAATTACCCTTCTTCGATAAAGCCACACTCGCATTGCAGATGAGAGACAGATGGACTTTGAATTGGAATAGATAAAAAAATAATCATCCTCCCACTCGGAGTGAAAATGATATATTTTGGGCTTTTTTGCTTCTGCCATAATTGCGGTCTTGTGTGTGTGCGGACTGTCACTCCTGTTGACACGGACAACGTCAGCGAAATAGTGCCCACTGCCCACCAGCCACGCCCCGACACATGGGGTCACGCCGGCCAATCACAAAGCTTTGATGCGTTCAAGTGCATTATTCTGGCACAGGAACATTATGTTACAGGACATTAACGATAAAACAGAATGTTGTTGTTCTATTTTTAGACACATCTCGCGATCGACTGGGAATCTCCTCGCGATCGACTGGTTGGGCACCCCTGGTTTAGAGCGAAGCGAATATTCGCATCGCGTCCGGTCTGAACCATACAGTCTATGGTCTGAACGCAGCATTAAAGCGAGCTCCGCACTGCACTGGAAACGCGCCATTACATCACCAGAAGTCCTAATTTAAGGGGTCATTTCTCCCCAAAACAATTTTTTTACTCACTATATCAACAGCCCCACCAAAAATATTTTCCACCAGCCGCCACTGCTTCCTACGCTTACCCGTTGGCAATAGATGGAACCGAGCATTCCGTGGATTGTTCCTATCCGAATTGTGGCAATGTCGCGATACAATGAGGCATATTTCAATAGAATTGTGAGAGTAACTAGAGTAAACAACATGAACAAAGCACATATGTCAATTTGTCCTCGACACCAAACGCATAGTTCACGTCACTTCCGGTAAAATAAGTCATGTGACTCGTCAAAATGGCGCCGCCCACAGGGTTGATGTTATTTAGGTAATTAATCAGTTTAAAATCACTGATAACGTCATCGGATTAAAAAAAAGACTGGCAGAGACTGGTCTGTTTTATCGGATGATAATTATTTAAAAATACGGGTCATGAGGATTGCCTACCTTTAAGTATAAAGTGCTACTGGCCCCTAGAGGTTGCAATGTTTGTTGCAAACAAAAAGTATTGTTGCTAAGAACTAGAATGATCAAGAATGTGACCTGAGCCAGCGGCCCAGGATCATGAAAATCAAACATGTAGCTTTCAACCATGTACATTTAGTTATTTTCTGTGTGCAGTTGGACAATATGCATGTCGCTTGGACCCAGGTAGAGGCTGTGGAAAACATTGAAAAGTTGTCGACTTGCCTTTAACAGAGGGGGGCGCCAAAGTCATTTGAATTATTTCTTAGAGGACCATGCATACTATAATTGATCAATTTGATTGCGTAGGTAAGTATACAGAGATTGGCCTACTGGCAGTATCAGATTATATCCTCTTGGATGTATATCTCATTCAACCAGCGTTTCCCAGGCTAAACCACAGGGAGGTTTCTGTCAATTGCAGCCCAGGAGACAGACATCAGACACCCCTTGCATGGCCACGTAGCACCCCCACGCAGGCTCAGATCCAGAGCCAGTTTTGTGCCGACAGTCCTGCCCCTCCAGACAACCAAACAAGCAGCAAGGACCAACATCTGGGAAGATGAATGGCAAAGAAATGACACATGAGCTCTTGAATGGCTGGACAGAGGAATCACACCAACGGAATGCCTCGCTAGTGGCCACGACCTTGGCTGGACAACCTGGAAGTCACTTAGACTGCGTGTGGAACAGGGGAGGTGCAAAGCACTGATGAAAGTGTGGAACTACACAACAGAAGACACGTGCAGCTGTGCATCAGTGCAGACAATGTCCCATCTACTGGAATGTGCCGATGCCCCCCGGTGCAGTCCAGAAGACCTGGCAGAACCTACCCCATCAGCTGTGGCCTGTGCCCGATACTGGCAGAACGACATCTGAGATTGCTACGGACTCGAAGAAGAAGACTATAATTGAAGGGCAGCCTTTGGGATTAGCGCCATGAGTTTATGCAAACTATGTTATGGCCCAAATTATTATTTGTGACCTGATAGTGGTGAAGGAAAGGTCAGGGGGTTCAACTAAATCATTTGAAATAATCAGTGTTTTATCTGACCACTGGGAGGCGTCCAATAGTTTCCAAACTAATATTTATTTTGTATTCAAAGCTGCTAAGAACTATGTGTACTTACCCTTTATCTGATCATCTGCCTTCAGGTGTTTGTTTACGTACCCATCGACCTGGTGAAGGTGCGTCTGCAGGGTCAAACAACAACTGCCCGATACCGTGGCCCTGTTCATTGTGTGGCCACCATCCTGAAGGAGGAGGGTCCCAGGGGTCTGTTCAGAGGAGGGTTGGCCCTCGCCATAAGGGACATTCCCTGCTATGGACTCTACTTCCTGCCTTACGAAGTCACGCGAAAGGCTCTGACTGAGAGCGGCAAAGAGCCAGGTAGGTGTCAGAGGCAATAGAGCAACAGTACGACCCTCAGTAAATAAATATGTATCCAGGGCAGTTTATGAAAAATGGAAGGTCACTACTACAAATGGTAAATCAAAATGAAGACATGCTAAGCAAAATATCTAACTTTTTAAATCAAAATGATGAGGAACTGAACAGAACAAAAATAGAATTATTCAAAGTTAAAGATCTCAGCCTTTTCCTAAACACACTAAAGGCTTGTTTCTTTCGGATTTCAGTGATACATTATTCCAAAATGTTGTTCTTAGTCAAGATAATCCATCCACGTGTGACGGCCACACATTGATTTAAGGTGTTTTTTCACTGTAGTGGCAGGGGAAAAGGTTTAAGGCATGTTGATTATCATGAAATAAAATGAACTATTATACATGTATAATATCCTCGCAACTGCAGTTCTTAATGTTCACTGTTATGTACGGTTTGAGGGTGTGGGTCATTAAGCCTCATGGTGTGTGTGTGTGTGTGTGTGTGTGTGTGTGTGTGTGTGTGTGTGTGTGTGTGTGTGTGTGTGTGTGTGTGTGTGTGTGTGTGTGTGTGTGTGTGTGTGTGTGTGTGTGTGTGTGTGTGTGTGTGTGTGTGTGTGTTGTTAGAGATTTGGAGGGATAACTGGTCCGCTTTTCAAATCTCCGCGCGTTCCTATGAAGCTGGTTATAATACAGGAAGGAATCCATATCTACAAAGTAACCGTTAACAATAATCTACTTTAATGGCAATATGACAATGCAATACAATCATTACAATACAACATGATATATTACAGTTATATTGCAATGCTTAAGGAGTAATGCCGGCTTACTCCTGCTCTGGTCCGCATACTGCAGAGCTACTTTCACCCGAGGGCAGCATGTGAAGAAGAGGCCGAACGCCAGGGATCCACCGGATATATACCAGAGTAAGAAGGAGGGGTTTGGTGTTAGGTCAGCTGGTCATCTTTTCAGGTCATCTCATTGGGAGACGCAACGCAGCAGGAAACGCAGCAGGAAACCAAACAGGCTCACTTTACAACAAAAGGTCTCAAGGCCTGCATACCTACACCTCCCCCACAGAGCCATAAAACCCTGTTTACTCCAACCAGCCCAGAATGTTTATAGCCATTTGTAGTCCTTACATTTATGAAAGGATAAAACAGAGAAATCAATATAAAACACAAACACAGGTATTGTTTGAACAGTATTCACTTAACTGCTACTGTTGATAAGCACCAGAGAAACCCAAGGGACCTCTCTTAATATCACAACCACTGTAGCTCGTTCTAAGTCGAATGCAAATCAGGACATGCTCTCACCTTCCCCCATCTTCCTTTGTCCTCAAAACACATGTCAACAGGCCCCAAATCCAGCTCACAGTTTTACCCAAATTATTCCCATTTTAAGCTTATCCATAGTTTGCTAACATGAATAAATACAAATATAACTCTACAGTGTGTGTGTGTGCGTGCGTGCGTGCGTGTGTGTGTGTGTGTGTCGAATGCGGGTATTCAGAGGGATATTTAAGTTTTCCTCAGCATGGGTTTATATATGTTAAAATGCAACGGGGAAAATAATTGAATGTGGATATTGCATCGATCCGACCAAGAAGCACGTCTCCGTGGAGAGGACGCACACAGATAGAGAGATTCTCTCCAACACAGGGGGAGATCGCTCCAGGCCCGGTTCCAGAACAAAATGACTCAGGGTGCATCTGAGATTAGAGAGGGTGCAGTGGTAAAGTGCTATTTTTATAAGTAGGGAGTGGACCCAACACCCTCTAGGGGGGTCCGAGGGCATGCTACCCCGGGAAGATTTTTTTTTTAAATATTGAAGTAATAAGCATCAATCTGGTGCACTTTGAGAGCAAAATGAAGAGATCTATGGATCTATGTGCTCTTTGCTTGATTCATGCGGGTGGTGACGGCATCCAACATTCGGAGCGACCGGAAATCGAATTGCTGTGAAGGATTTCCTGTATTTTTTTGGAGTGTTGATTACAGCCAAGCATTAACTTTGGTATTATAACCATTTTGCCACATACCTGCTGAGACATATCTTCTGGTAGAGCGCCAACGCCCACTGCAGGGGCCAGCACAGCGCGTTCTCAAACCAGCTCTGACAGCGAAAAACGGGGGACAGGCAGACGGCCGCTGTCACGTAGCTGGATGATCCACACTCCCCCAGGTCACCTCTGTACACTTAGTGAGGAGCCCCCGGGGGCCCCTCAATTGCCAGAAGAACACAAACATACCACCAACCTGTTAACTCACCAACAGACTGTTCTTCCGGTGACGTCATCCACAGCTGAGAGGTTGCCTGTCAATACCCATTACCCAGCTGATGCTACGCTAACGTCACCCTTTACCCAGCTGATGCTACGCTAACGTACAACATCTACCCTGAGCTATCTCACCAACCACAGCTTTCAGTATGCCACCAAAGAAGGTGCAGATGGACAGCAAAGAAGGAAAACCAGAGGAGGATCTGGTCTCTCTTGCTCAGGTAACAGAGTTACTAAATCAGCAGAAAGACATGTTTACTGCACTCTTACAGCAGCAACAGGAGAACTTCAGAGGCTTTGTTAAAATGATTATGGATTCCACTAACACAAGGCTGGATGCCATTACAAGGGAGGTTCAGGAAATCAGGTCTAGCATTCAATTTACTCAAAAGGATACAGATGACATGAAAACTCAAAATGTGAAACAGTCTGTACACTGTAAGTCTATGCAAGCTGACATCTTGAGAAATAGTGACGGCCTGTCAGCTGTCACTGACAAAATGGAATATGCAGAAGGACAATCGAGAAGGAGCAACGTGGTTCTTGACGGCATCGGTGAGGAGCCTGGGGAGACCTGGGCGCAAACTGAGGAAAAGGTGAAAGACATTCTTGTGGACAAACTCCAGCTTCAACGAAGCATTGAGATTGAGAGAGCTCACCGCACTGGGAAGCCAGCCGCTAACAATACCAGACCCAGACCCATAGTAGTGAAGTTCCTGAGGTTCAAGGACAGATCAGCGGCTTTGGAGAGAGCCAAAAATCTGAGAGGGACGAACATCTACATTAATGAAGATTACACTGAAGCAGTCAGAATGAAAAGGAAAGAGCTACTCCCTAAATTGTGGGAAGCGCGGGAGAGGGGAGAGATTGCCTTCCTGAGGCATGACAAGCTGATAATCTGCCCCCCACAGCACTCCAGAACCTAATTGTATCACTGGACTTTTAAGGTATATCTGATATGAACTAATTATGAACACATGACAATAATGTCACATTCTGTTAATCTGCCAAAGAAGGGAATGTTACTTGCTCACTTGAATGTGTGTAGTTTGAGGAATAAGGTGCATGAACTCTGCCATTTGGTAGAATCAAATAATATACACATACTGGCTATCTCAGAATCACACCTGGACTCATCTGTTGATGATTCAGAGGTTGCAATGCATGGTTACAATCTGTTCAGAAAGGATAGAGATAAGAATGGTGGCGGAGTTTTGATCTATGTACAAAATCATATTCCAGCTAAAGTACGATACGACCTAATGAAAAATGAAATAGAAGCTTTATGGTTACAAATACAATTGCCACATTTAAAACCCAAATTAATTGGATGCTGTTATAGGCCACCGAGTGCCAATTCAAACTATCTAGATGGTATTTGTGAAATGGTAGATAATACAGCTGAGTGTAATAGCGAAATATATTTCATGGGAGACCTGAATATCAATGCCTTCAATGAGAAATGCCCCATGTGGAACAAGATTGCATTAGCTGCCAAAATGTGTAACATGACTCAGGTAATAACATCACCAACCAGAAGGGCTACAAATAAACATGGGGCTATTACAACGACCTGCATTGACCACATCTATACTAACAGGCCAGAGCACTGCACTAAAGTGTTGTCACTCACAGTTGGCTTTAGTGATCATAATCTAGTTGCTATAGTACGCAAGACCAAAATACCTAAGGCTGGCTCCAAGATAAATTATAGAAGGTCTTATAAGGGGTTTAATCAGGAACAATTTGTAGAGGAGGTAAAGAATGTGCAATGGTTTGATGTTTGCCATGAGGAAAACCCAGAAAAAGCACTGGGAGTATTTATGAAGTCTTTCATGGGGATTGCCGATCAGCATGTTCCTATGAGAAAATGGTCTGCCCGGTCAAAGTGTGCCCCTTGGTTGAATGACGAGATGAGAAGTGTAATGGTCCAACGAGATGATGCTAAACAAACGGCAGACAGAACAGGTTCTCTATGTGACAAACAACATTACTGTAAACTAAGAAATGCGGTAACCAAATTGAATAAATGTAGAAAGAGGGAATACTACATGCAAGAAATCAGTGATTCTACGAATGATGGAAAGAAATTATGGAAAATATTGAATAACATAATGGGGAGGAACTCAAACATGCATCCTTCTTTTATAGAAACCGAGGGTAAATTCATTACCAAGCCAGCAGATATTGCAAATCATTTTAATGATTATTTTACAAATAAAGTAGATAAGCTGAGGAATGCCATGGGTGCAGTCAAGGACACAGTGTCACATCACATCATTAAAGATTGTATCATGAGGGAAAAGCAGTGCATGTTTGAATTCCACAATGTTACAGAAGAATATGTTGAAAATATGCTTTTACATCTGTCCGATGATAAATCTCCTGGGATTGACAACTTGGATGGTAAACTGCTCAAAATGACGGCCAAATACATATCCAAGCCATTGAGTCACATTTTTAATAAAAGTTTAGAGCAAGGCGTGTGTCCCGAGATCTGGAAGGAAGCCAAGGTCATCCCATTACCCAAGGATAAAAGAAAAACCTTTGCTGGTTCCAATAGTCGACCTATAAGTCTCCTCCCAGTGTTAAGTAAATTAATAGAAAAAATAGTATACACCCAAATTCAATACTACTTTTCAAGTAACAATCTGACAACGAACTACCAACATGCCTATAGAGATGGTCACTCTACAAGTACAGCACTTGCACAAATGACC